GCAAAACTTCCCAAAAGACTTGCAGAGTGTGCGTCATAGAATGGATTGCATCAACCAAAAATTCCACCGTGGGCCAGCCCATCCGGGAGTTGCACACTCTTGTTTATCTACTCTTCATAGCAGTATTTAGCTGATTCTAAACGTTTCACCTGTTAGGGGCCGTCCGTAAATACATGTATTTACTTAGAGACATCTAAAAGGCGTTTCTTTCTTGACCCACCCACCCACCCCCAGAAACGCCCCCTAAAAATGCAGATAATACCACTACTAATAATAGACACCATCAAACCAGTTAATACTATGAACACATAATTATAGTACAGCCGACTGCACTTATAACAAACTCGCATTATAGCGAATTTCGTGATAGCGAACCCTTGTCGTTTGCGGTTCAGAGTTGAACTTCAAACCAATGCCGAGTATCCTGTTTCCCACCTCCATTCTTTATAGCAAGAGTACTGTATACACTTCTTGGTACTACATGTACTACATGTACTACATGTAGCTGTAGCTATAGCAGTGCTGCTACGTCATGTACTACAATGCACATGACACCATGTACACGCGTAGTTTGGTATGCATGCACTCCGAAATGTATTTTTTAGAAACGCCTTGCAGGCGAACCCACGCACCAGAAACGCCTCTTAGACGTCTCGAAGTAAATACATGTATTTACAGATGGCCCCTTAGTGACGCAGTTTCTTGCGTAAGTTTTCGAGAATTTTTCCTCAAATTCCCGCAGGGACTAGCAAGAGTACATAACTAAATACAAAGAAAACGAACTGAAAATACAAAAGTAAATGAAACACCATTACCAAAGAAACTGTACTGTATCATGTACACCGTTTATGGCACCAGGGCACATTCAGCAGCCGCCAGCACAGCCGAACCAGACAGATGTCGAGGCGGGTTCCGACGGTGACCACGTAGACTGGCAACCATTGCCCGAACAAGGCAAAAGGAGATCTTCGCCCGTACAAAAGCCATCATAACCGGGAAAGGCTCACGGCGCTTTTCACACAGCTTGCTGGCAATCCTGGCGAAGAGGGCAGAAGCAGCTTTCCCCTGGCCGCCTGTGGTTGCAAAAACCACGGGAACAAACGAGGAATGCTCCCCCTCCAGGACTCGCCGTTCATACTTACGCCTCTTCTCCTGCTCGTGCTTTCTGTAGACAGACGGGAGAGTAAGGTTTCGGTTGGAGGGGACAAAAGGGTTAAACACCCGAACATCAAACATTGTCCTCTCTAACCTACTCCCATACACTCCACGTGCTGCCACATCAAGACGAGCATGAGCCTCCGTGTTGGCCGACCGGAGAGGGAATGTTTCACCAGAGAGGGGTTCCAACTCTGGCTCCACGCTGACGTCATGCGCAACCTCACGCAACAGATTAGCGGTTAGATCCCGGAGCTCGTTGTGGCGCATCCCAGTGAATCCTCCGATGGCACATGATAGGGCATGGGTGGTGTCGAAGGGCTTTCCACAGGTGCAGTGAGACGGCAACCGGGGAGGGGTCCAGCCGTAGCGCAGACATAGGGCATCCCGGAAGCCAGCCTTGTGGATGGTAAACTGGAACCGGCGAGATGGCCGACTAGTGAGCCAACTGGAGGCACCTTTCTCTGTGGCTAGATCCAGAGTCCGCCTGTGGTCGTCACTCAGGGTATCTCTGAGGGAGGAGAGGGCCATTGCCTGATCTTGGCGATTAGCTGTGCGTTGGGCCGCCTTGGCTGCCTTGGTGGCAGCAACAACTTCCTCGATGGATTCCTCCTGTCGAAGGAGCTGCTCGACTAGAGGTCTGGTGACAGCCGTAGACGTGTCGTACTGCTGGGAAAGGGTCCCTGGGTTTAGCATTCCCAAACCACCATGACGACACGGAAGCGCCAGGATGGCACGTTCTTCCTCGCCGGGGGCCTGGCGACCAGTCAGTGCAGGGAGGAAAACTTGGCTGATGGAGTTTTCCAGCGGTGTCAGGAGGTCCGCGATGGCTGGCATTGTCCTCGCAAGGAATGACCACTTATGGCGGAGACCATGGGTAAGGACAGCGTAAGCAGCCTGAGGTTGAGACGCCGCATGTTTGGCGAGGGTCTGCAGCTCTGTGCACCATGTGTCAACCTTCTGCGACACGTAACCGCCGCAGAACAGGGCAGAGCCTAGGGCAGCACCAAGATGACGATAGCCGTCCGTCCGGATGTTAACCCCGGTTGTGGCAAACAATTCTGTTGCTAGCGCAAGATGTTGTGGCTTCACGAGGAGAACGGACTTTGACGGGTTGATGTCGTAACCATACCTGGTGCCTCGATCTACTAGGATGGACCACCAGGTGCGCATTCGTCGGAGAGCGCCGGCTGAAGTTGCGTCATCGGCATACCAGGACTGCATGGCCCCAGCTGCGGCGGCTTCCCGGATCAGTGGCACTGTGCCAAGCGCATACATTGGCATAGCCAATGGGTCTCCTTGAGTGGTGCCCTCAGAAGATAGGATCACCTCTCCTCCAACATACAGGTGAGCTGGGGAGCGGTAAGTGTTGATAACAGCTGGCGCGAGCTCAGGACATAGCCGCTGACCATTGCGCAGGCAAACAGCTCTATTTAGGCGATTGAATGCGTTCGTTGCATCCGCGAACAGGACTCCCTCCGTGTGGTCATCATCGAAGGTGGTCTTCACCGCATGAATGGCGGCTTCCACGCCACACTCTTGCCCACCCGGCCCCTTAGTGTGATTCGCCTATCTACGGCTGTGATTTTTAACGCAAATCTTGTTGCTAGACATTTGTTGGCATGTCATCGAGTGGAAAGCAATCTTCTTCCAGATGTCTGTCCGTCTGTCTGTCTGTCTGTCTGCCTGCCTGCCTGCCTGCCCGCCGGCCTGCCTTTCTGTCTGTCTGTCTGTCTGTCTGTCTATCTGTTTTTTGTCTGTCTGTGGGTCTGTCTGTCTCACTGTCTCTCTGTCTATCTGTCTGTCTGTATATCTGTCTGTCTGTCTGTCTATCGGCCTGTCTATCTGTCTGTCTGTCTGTCTGCATGTCTATCTGTCTGTCTGTCTGTCTGTCTGTCTGTCTGTCTGTCTGTCTGTCTGTCTGTCTGTTTGTCTGTCTGTCTGTATGTCTGTCTGTCTGTCTGTCTGTCTGTCTGTCTGTCTGTCTGTTTGTCTGTCTGTTTGTTTGTCTGTTTGTTTGTCTGTCTGTCTGTCTGTCTGTCTGTTTGTCTGTTTATTCTGTCTGCCTGTCTGTCTATCTGTTTGTCTGTCTGTCTGTCTGTTTGTCTGTTTGTCTGTCTGTTTGTCTGTCTGTTTGTTTGTTTGTTTGTCTGTTTGTTTGTTTGTTTGTTTGTCTGTCTGTTTGTTTGTTTGTTTGTTTGTTTGTTTGTTTGTTTGTTTGTCTGTCTATCTGTCTGTTTGTTTGTTTGTTTGTCTGTATGTACGAGAGAGCTCGGAAGCTCAGGGCCCTACGCTATGCTTTTTTGCCTTGATGACCTAGACAAAAAAAAAGCATAGGGATGTTATAAATTCTTTAAAAAATCATTTTTTTTAAGACATCACCTGGGATTCGAACCCGCACTATCGCGCGCCCTGCATGCATCCCCCGGTACACTTCGCATACATACTAAGTCTTCCAAGTTGTTTCACATTGTGATCTTGCATTTGAAAGCCCTATTTGAATATGCATTGTGGCCAGCCGTCTTTGATGGCACGGTACGGTAGGGATAGGTACGGGACAGGTACGATCGAGGGTAATACGACACCGTCTCCCGTACCGTACCGTACCATCAAACACAGCTGGCCACATACAGCTGCCCGCAATATTCAAATAGGGCTTTCAAACGCAAGATAATAACGTAAAGCAACTTGGAAGAATGGGTATGAATGCGAAGTGTATGGGGGAATGCATGTAGGGCGATAGTGCGGGTTCGAATCCCAGGATATGCGTGAAAAAAAAGGAGAATTGAAACATTTATAACATCCCATGCTTTTTGCCGTCAGATACGGATAGCGCCAGGCGTGGCACAAACAAACACACAAACAAACACCAAATTAAAGCTGTGTGGACCCTGCCTAGCGCCAGACGTTACTGAAGTAACGTCTTCTGCATAGCTACAGGAATAATAACAGTCATGTATGTCTGTTCGTACGTGTGTGCATCAATTCCAAAACTTGTGTTCCTGTGGCAGATGAAGTACGTTGATCTGCTTCTCATATACTGGCCTAGACCACCTGGCAAGAGTAAAGATCCAGCTTGGCAAGGTCAGCCAGCCACATTCAAGACTTGTCACCAGCAAACATGGAAAGCTCTGCAGGATATGTTCAAACAAGGTGAATGAAAGCAACAGAAAACAGTGTCTGTCGGATTGTCTGTGTAAACTACAGTATACTGGTCAACTAGTCTCTGCCTGTTTTAATAAACCTATGCCTATTTGTGTTCATGTTAGTCTATCTGTCTTTGCTGTGTGACAGTTGGTGTGTCTCTCTTTATGTTCTTTTGTCTTTCTCTCTGTATATCTCTACCCCTCTGCCTTGCTCTCTCTCTCTCTCCCTCCCTCTCTCTCTCTCTCTCTCTCTCTCTCTCTCTCTCTCTCTCTCTCTCTCTCTCTCTCTCTCTCTCTCTCTCTCTCTCTCTCTCTCTCTCTCTCTCTCTCTCTCTCTCTCTCTCTCTCTCTCTCTCTCTCTCTCTCTCTCTCTCTCTCTCTCTCTCTCTCTCTCTCTCTCGCTCGCTCTCGTTTTCGCTCTCCCTCCCTCCCTCCCTCTCTCTTTCTCTCTCTCTCTCTCTCTCTCTCTCTCTCTCTCTCTCTCTCTCTCTCTCTCTCTCTCTCTCTCTCTCTCTCTCTCTCTCTCTCTCTCTCTCTCTCTCTCTCTCTCTCTCGCTCGCTCTCGTTTTCGCTCTCCCTCCCTCCCTCCCTCTCTCTTTCTCTTTCTCTCTCTCTCTCTCTCTCTCTCTCTCTCTCTCTCTCTCTCTCTCTCTCTCTCTCTCTCTCTCTCTCTCTCTCTCTCTCTCTCTCTCTCTCTCTCTTTCTCTCCTTCTCTCGCTGTCTCTCTCTCTCTCTCTCTTCTTCTCCCCGGCCCTCTCTCTCTCTCTCTCTCTCTCTCTCTTTCGGTTGAGGTAGGTGTGCGTGGTTTCATCCCGGACTCTCTTCGGAGGGCTCTGAAAGCGCTTGGGTTTTCTGATCGAAGAATAAAATTTATTTGTAATTTGTGCACTAAGACGTCTCTGCGAAGCAGCTACATCATCTGGTTGCGACGTCAACAAAAACACTGGTCGGAAGATCCACTTTTCTGAGGTACTGTATGTGGGGCTCCGTTTATTGAGGTGCGTTGAAATTTATTCTCTTTATCTTACACAGAGGCAATATGCTTTGGTTCTCTTTATCTTATTATTTCTTTTCTATAATTTCCCCATATGAGTTCCTATCTGTTGCTGTGAACACCTTGAGTGGAGAGCGCTTGCTCGAGCGTTGAACCGGGTTCTTAATCCACCATACCCAGTTTGCAAGGCTGGGCGGGGTTGTGAGCAGGCTTTCATTTCATCTTTTCTTATTATTTCCTATTATTTCTGCTTTTCATCTCATTACACAAATTCTGCGCTTTTTCTCCCTCTGCGCATAAAATCTAGACTGACAACCTGCTTGTTAAATCATGCACCTGCTTTCAGGCGTAAAAACCCTGTTGTAGATGTCTCCGTCCTCATTTGTTAGACTTACCTGTCTTTATAAATGTAACTTACTCTCTCTCTCTCTCTCTCTCTCCCCCTTTCTCTCTCTCTCTCTCTGCATTTTCTTATTGCTCTTTTTCACTGCTTGTCTTAGTATTTCTCCCTAACGTTCTCTCTCTCTGTTTCCAGCTATCTTTAGATATTTTGTTTTATGTGTCGTTCATTCGCTCTTCTTTTTATCTCAGGCTCGACTACAGCAATCGGATGTCAAATTATGAGCAAAATCATCGTCAGGACATCATTGACATGAAAGAGTTGCTACCTTTACTCAACCAGGTTAGTTGCACATTGTCTTGGTGTCTGAGTGATTAGAGAGAGAGAGAGAGAGAGAGAGTGAGAGAGTGAGAGAGTGAGAGAAAAAGAGAGAAAGAGAGAGAGAGAGAGAGAGAGACAAAGAGAGAGAGAGAGACGGAGAGACAGAGACAGAAAGAGAGAGAGATACAGAGAGAGAAAGAAAGAGAGAGACAAAGAGAAAGATAGAGAGACAGAGAGACAGAGAGAGAGATAGAGAGATAGGGAGATAGGGAAATAGGGAGATAGGGAGATAGAGAGATAGAGAGATAGAGAGATAGATAGATAGAGAGAGAGAGAGAGAGAGATGGAATGAACTATTTTCCAGTCTGTTGTAGGTAACTCCTGTAACAGTGCATGTAGATACTAGCACAATGTACATTGGCAGATTCTCACTTATTTTTCAGAAGCATTTCGAAAACTGGTGTAAAATTGTATCCAGACTTTTGTTTTAGCTTGGAAACTCTCACTTGGGCATTTTGAAGAATCATGGTATCCCGTATTGACTTCAATTTGTGTGTGTTTTTGTGTGTTTTTGTTCTATTTGTTGATCAGGTTGAGTATCACCCATACTGTCATGAGAACGACTTGATTGAGTTCTGTCAAGAGCGCAACATCACCTTCAACGGCTACACTCCAATGAGCTGCCCAGACTACGCCCCTCCGACACACGGCTGGTCACACTCGACGCTCCAAGCACTCTTTGTCATGCAGGTAAGGCTAGTGTGCTCGTCTTTTCTACGCAGCTGAAGTGGCACATGGGAACAGGAGAACACTCATTCGTACACTCATACCTCTGTTTTCCAGACACCAAGGTCACGGGCACTTCGGTCTGCCGGGTACTCTTTGAGTGAGTTTTAGTGGAAATATTACTACTTTTTTGTCCCTTTTTGTGTAAAATTCAATAGTTACATTATAGGGCAAATCTATGTCCCTTCCTCATTAAAATATTCGGAGTTACGGACATTTCAAAGTTACAGGCAGTGTCCGGTCCCGGACCACTCGGATAAACCAGGGATGAGTGTAGTTGCAGTTGTCTTGAGAGTTCCACATATAAAACACAGGATGATGATACTCATGCATTTCTACTCACCTATCCAAACAAATCATCATACCAGTGCACTGCTTAGTTCTGCATGTGTGTTATGTGTCTTGCATAGTGAGATCAGGGAGATGGAGTGATGAGGTGATGGCTAATTGAGCCATGCATTCTGCACTGTTGTTTTCTACTTTGAAAGCGTGCAAGAGAAAAATAGATATGGGGAAGTGCCCAACCGTGTGGCTTTGACTGCATCCCCGCACGTGTACATGGGTTTGTTGTGTTGACTGCAGCCCTGCACGTGTACATGGGTTTGTTGTGTTGACTGCAGCCCTGCACGTGTACATGGGTTTGTTGTGTTGACTGCATCCCCGCACGTGTACATGGGTTTGTTGTGTTGACTGCAGCCCTGCACGTGTACATGGGTTTGTTGTGTTGACTGCATCCCTGCACATTTACATGGGTTTGTTGTGTTGACTGCATCCCCGCACGTGTACATGGGTTTGTTGTGTTGACTGCAGCCCTGCACGTGTACATGGGTTTGTTGTATTGCCCTGGATGATAACATGTTTGCTGTGATCATCAATCTGATCTCACCTAACACATATCCCGACAAGAAAGGAATCCTCGCATATACAGTAGGAGACATGCAGTGTCCAAGGTATGCTGGCTGGTTGAGCAGTCGTGCTGGCTGTTTGAGCAGTCATGCTGGTTGATCGAGCAGTCATACTAGCTGGTCGAGCAGTCATGCTGGCTGACTGAGCAGCTATGCTGGCTGTCTGAGCAGTCATGTTTGCCGTAGTGTTTGAGCATTCATAGTGGTTGACTGAGCAGTCGTATTGGCTGTCTGCGCAGTCATACCGGATGGTTGAGCATTTATGCTGCCTGTCCTAATAATTATAGTCATTTTGGTTAGCTGGGTAGTTATACTGGTTATCTGGGTATTTATAGTGGTTAGCTGGGTAGTCATACTGGTTAGCTGGGTAGTTATACTGGTTAGCTGGGTAGTTATACTGGTTAGCTGGGTAGTTATACTGGTAAGCTGGGTAGTTATACTGGTTAGCTGGGTAGTTATACTGGATAGCTGGGTAGTTATACTGGTAAGCTGGGTAGTTATACTGGCTAGCTGGGTAGTTATACTGGTTAGCTGGGTAGTTATACTGGTTAGCTGGGTAGTTTTACTGGTAAGCTGGGTAGTTATACTGGTTAGCTGGGTAATCATACTGGTTAGGTGGGAAGTTATACTGGTTAGCTGGGTAGTTAAACTGGTTGGCTGGGTAGTTATACTGGTAAGCTAGGTAGTTATACTGGTTAGCTGGGTAGTCATACTGGTTAGCTGGGTAGTTATACTGGTTAGCTGGGTAGTTATACTGGTTAGCTGGGTAGTTATACTGGTTAGCTGGGTAGTCATACCGGTTAGCTGGGTAGTTATACTTGTTAGCTGGGTAGTTATACTGGTTAGCTGGGTATTTATACTGGTTAGGTGGGTAGTTATACTGGTTAGCTGGGTAGTTATACTGGTTAGCTGGGTAGGTATACTGGTAAGCTGGGTAGATATACTGGTAAGCTGGGTAGTCATACTGGTTAGCTGGGTAGTCATACTGGTTAGCTGGGTAGTTATACTGGTTAGCTGGGTAGTTATACTGGTAAGCTGGGTAGTTATACTGGTAAGCTGGGTAGTCATACAGGTAAGCTGGGTAGTCATACTGGTTAGCTGGGTAGTTATACTGGTTAGCTGGGTAGTTATACTGGTTAGCTGGGTAATTATACTAGTTACCTGGGTAGTCTTACTGGTTAGGTGGGTAGTCATACTGGTTAGCTGGGAAGTCATACTGGTTAGCTGGGTAGTTATACTGGTCAGCTGGGTAGATATACTGGTTAGCTGGGTAGTTATACTGGTTAGCTGGGTAGTTATACTGGTGAGCTGGGTAGTTATACTGGTTAGCTGGGTAATTATACTGGTTAGCTGGGTAGTTATACTGGTTAGCTGGGTACTCACACTGGTTAGCTGGGTAGTTATACTGGTTAGCTGGGTAGTTATACTGGTTAGCTGGGTAGTTATACTTGTTAGCTGGGTAGTCATACTGGTTAGGTGGGTAGTCATACTGGTTAGCTGGGTAGTCATACGGGTAAGCTGGGTAGTTATACTGGTTAGCTGGGTAGTTATACTGGTTAGCTGGGAACTCACACTGGTTAGCTGGGTAGTTATACTGGTTAGCTGGGTAGTTATACTGGTTAGCTGGGTAGTTTTACTGGTTAGCTGGGTAGTTATACTGGTTAGGTGGGTAGTTATACTGGTTAGTTGGGTAGTTATACTGGTAAGCTGAGTAGTCATATTGGTTAGGTGGGTAGTCATACTGGTTAGCTGGGTAGTTATACTGGTTAGCTGGGTAGTTATACTGGTTAGCTGGGTAGTTATACTGGTAAGCTGGGTAGTTATACTGGTAAGCTGGGTAGTCATACTGGTAAGCTGGGTAGTTATACTGGTTAGCTGGATAGTTATACTGGTTAGCTGGGTAGTTATACTGGTTAGCTGGGTAATTATACTAGTTAGCTGGGTAGTCTTACTGGTTAGGTGGGTAGTCATACTGGTTAGCTGGGAAGTCATACTGGTTAGCTGGGTAGTTATACTGGTCAGCTGGGTAGATATACTGGTAAGCTGGGTAATTATTCTGGTTAGCTGGGTAGTTATACTGGTGAGCTGGGTAGTTATACTGGTTAGCTGGGTAATTATACTGGTTAGCTGAGTAGTTATACTGGTTAGCTGGGTAGTAATACTGGTTAGCTGGGTAGTTATACTGGTTAGCTGGGTAGTCATACTGGTTAGCTGGGTAGTTATACTGGTTAGCTGGGTAGTTATACTGGTTAGCTTGGTAGTAATACTGGTTAGCTGGGTAGTTATACTGGTTAGCTGGGTAGTCGTACTGGTTAGCTGGGTACTCACACTGGTTGGCTGGGTAGTTATACTGGTTAGCTGGGTAGTCATACTGGTTAGCTGGGTAGTTATACTGGTTAGCTGGGTAGTTTTACTGGTTAGCTGGGTAGTTATACTGGTTAGCTGGGTAGTTATACTGGTTAGCTGGGTAGTTATACTGGTTAGCTGTGTAGTTATACTGGTTAGCTGGGTAGTTATACTGGTTATCTGGGTAGTTATACTTGTTAGCTGGGTAGTCATACTGGTTAGGTGGGTAGTCATACTGGTTAGCTGGGTAGTCATACGGGTAAGCTGGGTAGTTATACTGGTTAGCTGGGTAGTTATACTGGTTAGCTGGGAACTCACACTGGTTAGCTGGGTAGTTATACTGGTTAGCTGGGTAGTTATACTGGTTAGCTGGGTAGTTTTACTGGTTAGCTGGGTAGTTATACTGGTTAGGTTGGTAGTTATACTGGTTAGTTGGGTAGTTATACTGGTAAGCTGAGTAGTCATATTGGTTAGGTGGGTAGTCATACTGGTTAGCTGGGTAGTTATACTGGTTAGCTGGGTAGTTATACTGGTTAGCTGGGTAGTCATACTGGTTAGCTGGGTACTCACACTGGTTAGCTGGGTAGTTATACTGGTTAGCTGGGTAGTCATACTGGTTAGCTGGGTAGTTATACTGGTTAGCTGGGTAGTTATACTGGTTAGCTGGGTAGTAATACTGGTTAGCTGGGTAGGTTACTGGTTAGCTAGGTAGTCATACTGGTTAGCTGGGTAGTTATACTGGTTAGCTGGGTAGTTATGTTGGTTAGCTGGGTGGTTATACTGGTTAGCTGGGTAGTTATACTGGTTAGCTGGGTAGTCATACTGGTTAGCTGGGTACTCACACTGGTTAGCTGGGTAGTTATACTGGTTAGCTGGGTAGTTATACTGGTTAGCTGGGTAGTTATACTGGTTAGCTGGGTAGTTTTCCTTGTTAGCTGGGTAGTTATACTGGTTAGCTGGGTAGTTATACTGGTTAGCTGGGTAGTTATATTGGTTAGCTGGGTAGTCATACTGGTTGGCTGGGTAGTTATACTGGTTAGCTGGGTAGTCATACTGGTTAGCTGGGTAGTTATACTGGTTAGCTGGGTACTCACACTGGTTAGCTGGGTAGTTATACTGGTTAGCTGGGTAGTCATACTGGTTAGCTGGGTAGTTATACTGGTTAGCAGGGTAGTTTTACTGGTTAGCTGGGTAGTCATACTGGTCAGCTGGGTAGTTATACTGGTTAGCTGGGTGGTTATACTGGTTAGCTGGGTAGTTATACTGGTTAGCTGGGTAGTTATACTGGTTAGCTGGGTAGTAATACTGGTTAGCTGGGTAGTTATACTGGTTAGCTAGGTAGTCATACTGGTTAGCTGGGTAGTTATACTGGTTAGCTGGGTAGTTATGTTGGTTAGCTGGGTAGTTATACTGGTTAGCTGGGTAGTTATACTGGTTAGCTGGGTAGTCATACTGGTTAGCTGGGTACTCACACTGGTTAGCTGGGTAGTTATACTGGTTAGCTGGGTAGTTATACTGGTTAGCTGGGTAGTTATACTGGTTAGCTGGGTAGTTTTCCTTGTTAGCTGGGTAGTTATACTGGTTAGCTGGGTAGTTATACTGGTTAGCTGGGTAGTTATATTGGTTAGCTGGGTAGTCATACTGGTTGGCTCGGTAGTTATACTGGTTAGCTGGGTAGTCATACTGGTTAGCTGGGTAGTTATACTGGTTAGCTGGGTACTCACACTGGTTAGCTGGGTAGTTATACTGGTTAGCTGGGTAGTCATACTGGTTAGCTGGGTAGTTATACTGGTTAGCTGGGTAGTCATACTGGTTAGCTGGGTAGTTATACCGGTTAGCAGGGTAGTTTTACTGGTTAGCTGGGTAGTTATACTGGTTAGCTGGGTAGTTATACTGGTTAGCTTGGTAGTTATACTGGTAAGCTGAGTAGTCATACTGGTTAGCTGGGTAGTTATACTGGTTAGCTGGGTAGTTATACTGGTTAGCTGGGTAGTTATACTGGTTAGCTGGGTAATTATACTAGTTAGCTGGGTAGTCTTACTGGTTAGCTGGGTAGTCATACTGGTTAGCTGGGTAGTCATACTGGTTAGCGAGGTAGTTATACTGGTCAGCTGGGTAGTTATACTGGTTAGCTGGGTATTTATACTGGTTAGCTGGGTAGTTATACTGGTTAGCTGGGTAGTTATACTGGTTAGCTGGGTAGTTATACTGGTTAGCTGGGTAGTCATACTGGTTAGCTGAGTACGAAACAGTTCTGTTCGCAGAATGAGCACTCTGTGCTGTATATTATGTTTGTTTGTATTTTTAGATCGCTCAAGTACACAGTGCCGATCCCTGTCAAGTGCTGCTGGCCTGGGAGCTGGCCCACGGCGTGGTGGTGAACTGGGGAACCCGCAATCCGGACCACATGACGCTGAACTTGCAGTTGGAGAAGGTGAAGCTGAGCACTGACGAGATTGCCAAGATCGCTGCCATCGTACCGCCGGAGAAGAACAAGGTTTGCCCTGACCGTCACCAGTACAAGTAGTGTATAGTCACTTGTTCAAGTGAACAGTTTCCGTGTAAGTTTATGTACATGACGTCACTGTTCTGTCTGACACTCGCCTTGTGCATACCAGCCAGAGTAAACACAGGACGGTGTTATAATTTTTTACTCCTACCATCTCAGTGTGTATGACCACTGTGCACCAAGTTATAAGTTCTTGCTCTCATATTGGCCTTTGGCCGGAGAGCCAGGTCTGTTTTCAAGAATTTTGTATTAGCCATTTTTGTTCTAGTTGTTGCAGGGTGTGTATGCATGCCCGGGTATGTGACAATGCCAGATTACAGGATTACCAGATCTGTATTATCCTTGCTGGCAAGGAATCTCATGTTTGTTTTCATTGTGTGTGCATGTGTGCACACACATGCATGCATGTGTACTCGTGCTATCCAGAGCAGTCAATCCCCCTTGAAACGTCCATGATATGGTCACATGCCATGTTTCAATGGTATGGTCACATGATTCGTATCACATGACATAGTCATATGACTCATGTCACATGATAATTATGGTGACATGATCCATATCACGAGATAATTTATGGTCACATGATCCAGCGCTACTTTCTCCGGCGCTACTTTCTCCAGCGCTACTTTCTCCGGTGCTACTTTCTCCGGCGCTACTTTCTCCGACTCTACTTTCTCCGACGCTACTTTCTCCGGTGCTACTTTCTCCGGCTCTACTTTCTCCGACCCTACTTTCTCCGGCGCTACTTTCTCCGGTTATACTTTCTCCGGCGCTACTTTCTCCGGCACTACTTTCTCCGGCTCTACTTTCTTGCTACTTTCTCCGGTGGTACTTTCTCTGGCGCTACTTTCTCCGACGCTGCTTTCTCCCGCGCTACTTTCTCCGGCGCTACTTTCTCCGACTCCACTTTCTCCGGCGCTACTTTCTCCGACTTTACTTTATCCGGCGCTACTTTCTCTGGCGCGACTTTCTCCAGCGTTATTTTATCCGGCGCTCTTTTCTCCGGCGCTACTTTCTCCTTCGCTACTTTCTCCGGCGTTACTTTTTCCGGCGCTACTTTCTCGTTGGGACACTTGGTCGTGGCCATTGCAGGGTCGGACAGATTTAGCTTGCATTCGCGTACACATACATGAGTTTTGTACTGCAAGTACAAGTACAATACACAATGACCTGCATTGACACTCACATAGAATTGTCAGTGGAAAGAAAGCACTGCGGCGGGAAGGGAGGAACAGTTGCAGTAACAGTTTTTGTTTTTGTTTTTGTAGATCATTGGTAGATGGACACGTTTTTGTTTTGTTTTTTGTCCTCATCATGATCCGATATCATCACGGCAAACGAGGTTAGAATTATTAGATGGAGCGGAGGAATTGAAGGATTTCCTGAAAGTTGCCCTACCGCGTGCTAGCTTTGTAACAAGGACCACAGAAAAACCGTTTTCAAACAGGTAAGACCCACCAAAACAGAGCAACAAAATGCTGTCTTCGAAGCTTCGTCGTGTTTATGTTGGTTCCAAAGGAGCAGTGAGTAGTATAATTGTTAGGTTTTGAAGAGAAGAATATGTAGTGTGCATTGCCCTACAGTAGTGTACAGTGCGTTACCATGGTTACAGCCCTGCTTGCGGATACACGTAAACGCATTCACACTCACAAAGAACTGTAGGATTATAACATTTTGATGTTCACTGCAGCCATCCCACATAACGTTCTGCTCCACGTTACAATGGGCCTCACATCAACCATATTCCCACACATATCGTTGCAGTGTACATAGCCGAGTCGTTAATGAGTGCTGGTATAATTATTATAACGTCTTCTACATGTATGTTTGCTATGTATGTGTGCTATGTGCACAAATGTTGCAGTGTTGAAGAGATCTTGAAGGAGGCTATTCCGCGTCCAAAGGCCTTCATATGGAGCCATAAACGTGGCGCGCGCTGTGCACAGATTCCTTTTGGTGGAGTTCCATTCATCTCCTGTGGCTTTACCAGAATGACAATTTGGGAAGCACAGGTATTGGAATTAAATGGACAGGTAGAACCTGAATGTGATCTATTTCATGCAGTTGCTAGTTACCAGTGAGAACAGTTGTACCATCTCTTGATTCCTTTGCATCACATTATTTTGTCAGTGACCAAGTGTTGTTGTGTCGGTAGAATTACAGGTGCCACACCACAAAGTCAAGTGAGTCCTCTAGCAATGTAACCAGTTAGCGATGTAAGCAGTTCAGCATCCGTTGATCATGCTTACCCCAGAGCCTCAGCTGTTAAGAAGAAGAGGATTAAACTCCAAGGTGAGAAGCATAGCCAGAGTGATGGTTATCTTTGCGGTGCCCATTGCTGTAAACTAGCCATCGGTTTTTTAAATTATTGCTCTACATGTTATCATGTCAACTGCAGAAAGAGAGAGAGAGAGACAGGCAATACCTGACTGATTGATACTAATGTTTTAGCGATTCGACGGTTGTCTTCTTCAGAATGATAATGAATAGAGATAAAGACGGAGACATCGTTTCTTTCCTTCTTGACTGCTAGTACTGTATACCCAGTGCTGGGAGTGCTGCAGTGCGAATGTACAAATGTACGAATAAACACTCTTTGCCACTATCCAGCTGTGATGCACCGAGTTTATACTTGCACCGCATGTTGATATCACTGTGGTATGCCCTGCTGTAATTCTTATAGGGACAAGAAAAATTGGATGTGAGGCATCGTGCAACATTCGTCGCATTCTGCGACTGCCTGATTATTCGGTTGACTCAACTGGCCTTTCTGCTTCCGCTTTGGCGAAAGCGAAGGGGGGGGGGTAAAGTGAAGGATTTTAAGTTGTCTATTTCGGCTGCTCTCAATGCTGGGGACCTGTCCAAACTCAATGTGTGCGAGCGGTGAGTTATAATAATATTTATAATAACTTATTATGTCATAATGAGAAAGTAATTGATTGAGTACTGTGATTGGTGGGTCATGTATGAGTGCCGCACTTGCCATGTAAGGTATGTAGGCCAATAAACTCAGTTGTATGTGGTATGTACGTAGCTCTGCAGAATCACAAAGAGAATGTCTTTCACGTTTGTTCATGCTCACTACGTAGGTTTATCGTTACGTACCCGACTGAGGACAGTCACAGTGGACATGATGTGATTACCGAACAAGGCAAATTCACCAGGGAGCAGAGCCAAAGAATCAGTCAGTCTGTAATGGACCGCATTTTTAAACTCGCCGAGAGTGGTCTGCGAGATGCCCAGAGTGGTCTGCGAGATGCCCAGAGTGGTCTGCGAGATGCCCAGAGTGGTCTGCGAGATGCCCAGAGTGGTCTGCGAGATGCCCAGAGTGGTCTGCGAGATGCCCAGAGTGGTCTGCGAGATGCCCAGAGTGGTCTGCGAGATGCCCAGAGTGGTCTGCGAGATGCCCAGAGTGGTCTGCGAGATGCCCAGAGTGGTCTGCGAGATGCCCAGAGTGGTCTGCGAGATGCCCAGAGTGGTCTGCGAGATGCTCAGAGTGGTCTGCGAGATGCCCAGAGTGGTCTGCGAGATGCCCAGAGTGGTCTGCGAGATGCCCAGAGTGGTCTGCGAGATGCCCAGAGTGGTCTGCGAGATGCCCAGACTGGTCTGCGAGATGCCCAGACTGGTCTGCGAGATGCCCAGAGTGGTCTGCGAGATGCCCAGAGTGGTCTGCGAGATGCCCAGAGTGGTCTGCGAGATGCCCAGAGTGGTCTGCGAGATGCCCAGAGTGGTCTGCGAGATGCCCAGAGTGGTCTGCGAGATGCCCAGAGTGGTCTGCGAGATGCCCAGAGTGGTCTGCGAGATGCCCAGAGCGGTCTGCGAGATGCCCAGAGTGGTCTGCGAGATGCCCAGAGTGGTCTGCGAGATGCTCAGAGTGGTCTGCGAGATGCCCAGAGTGGTCTGCGAGATGCCCAGACTGGTCTGCGAGATGCCCAGAGTGGTCTGCGAGATGCCCAGAGTGGTCTTCGAGATGCCCAGAGTGGTCTACGAGATGCCCAGAGTGGTCTGCGAGATGCCCAGAGTGGTCTGCGAGATGCCCAGAGTGGTCTGCGAGATGCTCAGAGTGGTCTGCGAGATGCCCAGAGTGGTCTGCGAGATGCCCAGAGTGGTCTGCGAGATGCCCAGAGTGGTCTGCGAGATGCCCAGAGTGGTCTGCGAGATGCCCAGAGTTGTCTGCGAGATGCCCAGAGTGGTCTGCGAGATGCCCAGAGTGGTCTGCGAGATGCCCGGGCTATCCAGACCATGTATGTTCAAAGTCGAATACAGAAATGTAAGTTCTTCCGTAGAGAACAATCTTCAGTGCTCGATCACCCAATAATCACTTGATAGCTTTCTGGGTGCATTCTTGTTGCTGTGCACTGAGCATTGTGGTTAGACAGAAGTTAATGCACGTGATAACTTACTGCGGTGTAGGGAAGGTGATCTCCTTTAATGCGACCTATGTCGGGTATACATTCTCTACTTACCAGGAATTTGGCCGGGAGTACCACCCAGAGTTAAAGGACATCCGATCACACATTGCTCTAGCAACACATAAGCTGCAGCAATCTAGACTGAACCAGATTCAGATGGCCCACAAGGTGAGTATGGATACGAAGAGAAACGGTGCTCGTGCACTCTGTTATCAAATCTAACCTGTTTGGGTTTCATCAGGTATTTCCCAATTCAAGCGGCACTACCATATTTTGGAGAACTATAAACTGTAAGACCTGATATGTTAACATCAATTAAAGTTATCGATATGCAAATAATCGACGTGGAGGCAACAATTTTATAATAGCAATAAAGAGAACAAATTCTGCAGTCATCGCCACACTACAACGAAGTCATGAAAGTTTACCAGAATTAAGTTTCTTGTCACATTCATCAGTGGAAAGTCGTGACTGAAGAGTAACCATGCTGAACAATGATTAAATATACATTCAATGATGTGTCACGAGAACAAGATACAGTGCCAAAATAGAATGAGAGAAGGTGAGACAATAGAAGTGAAGTGAGAGCTAAGTGCAACGGCGGGT